AAGTCAAGGGTCCAAGACTCCTTCTCAGCATGCATTATAATACCAGTAATTATTAATGTAAACATCATACATGTATGTAGCTCTATTATTAACTACACGTTGTGATGGGTTAAGAGGAAGATCCCTCGTAGGCTACGCACTTTCGTAGGCTACGCACTTTCCCTATTCGAAGACAATCTTCTTGGTACACTACAGTCATTTTGCATATTTAGATGAGTTTTGGTGTGCTTGGCGCTGTATCGCTGCAGTAGCTCAAGGCCGTACCAAGATGTGTATATCAAAATTGTTGCGAGGATTGAAAATATCTGACTGGCACAAGGGGAATTACTTTCAAAGGGGGCAAAATAGATATTGACGAATAAATACATAGTTTTCGAGAAAAATAAAAAGTTAACTTGTTGTTTTTTTTTTTTTTTTTTAACACACACGATTTTCGAGGCTAACAACATATCAGTGGAGTTTCAGCTTTGTTTGTCAATTTATGCTAAATTTGACGTCCAAACGAACTATGCATAAATGATCGCATATCCAATTCTATTTAGAATCTCTGATCGATGACTTTCGACTCCCCACTTTTTTTGTACCAAGTTTAAGGGAATTAAAAATTTGCCATATCTTCACCGAATATGAAAGATCCACTGAATAAGTTTATTGCGTAAGGGATGAATGAATTATTTGATTTAATATACTTGAAATCCTCATACGCTAAAGCATTTATTTACTCGTTGTCGGCGATTAGGCAGTGGGAGAAGAATATTGTTGATGAGAAGAAAAAGTTTATGGTCTTTGTCGCAAAACTAATTGAAAATTCAATATTCTTGTATTCATTAGAAAAGGAAAAATTTAACTGTTCTTCTTACCGTTGTATTTACCATAAAGTAATTTTCTCGTCCAAATCTTAATCATGGGGGAATGAGTTACTTGCATTGCTTGCATTCAAATGAACTCTTTAAGTCTCTTTCGTTTTTTTTACAGTTAAATTGTTTTCGCTCTTAGTTATCATTTTGCGCATGTCTACGCAGTAATAACGAATAACATTTTTGAACCTTTGAAGCATATAATACGCATAGGGGATACTTACGCTCTCCGTTTTCATAGTCCACACAGCAGCATATTAGATTTGGCAAAGTTCTTCAATAACCCCCTAACACAAAATCCGATATTCTTGTATCCTTCTAGTCAAATAACTATCACAATCTTAAAAGTTTGCCTCAAGCTAGAAGCATAAGATTACTATTAAATGTATTTCAAATGTTGTCCTTTCTCAGTTTGCATTCAAAAATTCCCTAAGATACGAACATTTTGGATACGAACTCAACACAGTTTAGATTATTAAAATTGGTCTTGAAATTGTTTTCTTTAAAATTTGCCCTTTAAGTTTTGAAATCGGCCAAAAAGTGGTTTACACATAAGACGCAATATTTGCGACCGATTTTCACTATATGCAATAGCTCAGGCATCGATTTAAGCTTGTCTGTCCGTCAGTCCTTCTTGTTTTCGTGCGTGAAACTCAAAAGTCGCAATTTATGAAATATTTTCATGAAATTTTGGTACACCGATGTGTCTTGACTCAACGACGGGTCACTTCTTCGAGTACTTCCCTTATTATAACAACTTATTTTTTGAAAAGTCATTGTATGAATAACTGCCAGCATCGAAAGATGAAGGTCATCAGTTACTTTATGACTTTTGAAAAACTCTAACGGAAGCTTCGGACACCCTATAACGTGTCAAATTTCGAATCGATCTAGATATGATTGCATCGGTCCGTCTTTCTGCCCGCTGGCGGTAAACGTATACGGGATCGCAAATATTGAAATATTGACTTAAAGTGCAAAGTAATTGTTGAATATGGTACGCTCTTCTATTCCATATATTTTTCTGGCTAACAATATATATAAATTAGAGTGTCTTCAATTCGTACTGTTATGCGTTTATTTTCTCTTTCATGGAGATCAAACAATTTTAGATGCGATTAGACTCGTAGATTATATAAATATAGCCACGACAAAAAGATAGGATAGATATATTGATTGTGTTGAAATTTTTGCAAATGGCTTGAAAGAAGCTTGAAAGACGTTGTCATGAATACGGGCATGTCTATACGCATTGTAGATGCAGTCGCGATAATTAATCTATCCTCTTCAAAATTACCCAAAAAAAAAAAAACAAAAAACTTGAAAGTTCTTAAAAGCTCGTTGACATTGAAAATAGGATAAATCGGTCAAAGGATACGTCTGTACCGAAAGATACACTGTAAATTTGAATTTTTTGCTTATTACAGCAATAAAAAAGTTTCAGGTATATATTCCGTGATTCACTCTATAGTATGTATAAAAAAATCGAAAACATTGGCCACGCCCACCCAATATTGTAGAGTAGCGAAATTTCACTTTTTCGTTCTCTTTTCGGCGTGGGGAGGACGACGAGGTGAGAGTTGGAGATATGACAGACTGGAATGCTTTGCCTAAGAGTCGTTGTCCGTCAAAATTCTTGCATATTTTAACGCCATCTTAGCGTTGTTACAACGAAATTCGCATCCGGCTGGTATTTAATATTTTCCCATCGATAATTTTATTATTATTTTGCAACCATATTGGAATTCATTTAGCTGAAATTGAATGCAACTGACACACAGAATGTGATTGAAAGTTAAACATGTGCGTGTTAAAGTCAGTTTTTTTTTTTTTTTTTTTTTTTTTTGTTAAAGACACATCTCAAATTTGTCGAAATAAAGCTATCAAAAAGACGTCCACATTCATAGAAAAAGTTTATTCGTTGATGATAGCTCACCATTCCTTACATAAATAACATATCAAAATAATGCAAATTATCACAGTACACAACGATTAAATTGATTGGTTTTGACCTTTCTCCGCATAAAGTAACAACTTTCCGTTTAGTAGTGTTGAGTTATTCAGTATTTGCAAACACTAATCATGGATTCTTGACTCTACTTTTCTGGCTTGATTTAAAGAAGTCGGCTGCGGAACTTGTGCAAACACTTTTAGAAGCTTATGGTGCTGCTGTTCACTCATATCTTAAGAGGCCGAAGACAATAAATTGCAAGACGAAAACTCAATACAAACACTCCAAGAACTTTTGAACAGCTTAGGAGTTGATGAATCAACTGTTTCTAGATGTTTACATGCGATAGAAAAGATCCAAAAGGAGAGAAAGCCCAGCTACCATACGAATTAACTGTAAATGTCATTTCGAAATGTCATTTCGAACCTTTTCAATATCATGGTTTCATTGCTTGCCGGGCAAAAAAAAAAAAAAGAAGAGTTTTCTAAAACGTATTGTAACTGGCAATGAAAAGTGCATCTACTACGACAATCCCAAACGCAAAAAGTCATGGATCAGTCCACAATTGTCATTCACATCGACATCGAAGCGGAATATTCATGGCCAGAAAGTTCTGCTGAACAAATGGTGGAATCAACAAGGTATAGCGAGCTTCTTAAAACCGAATGAAACTGCACTGTAGGATATATTGGAGCAAAAAAGACTAGAGGCAATAGCGGTTAACCGACGCAAAGTCTTCCTTTTGTACGATAACTCTCGGCGACACGTTGCTAGAGTGTTTAAGGATGCACCGTTGCAGTTCGAATGGGAAACTCTGCCGCATCCAGTCTACTCACCAAACATAGCAACTACTGATCACAATCTGTTCATTTCTATGCATCATGGCTTGGCTGGCAAGTGGTATCGAAATGCTGAAGAAGTGCGAAAATAGATCGATATTTGGATCGCTGCTAAACCAATACCGTTCCTTTGACACGGCATCGCCACGTTGCCACAAAAATCGGAAAAAGTGGTAGAAAATGATGAAAAATATTTTCATTAATAATTATTTCATCAATTTTTCTCAATAAATGCTTTCTTCAAGTGAAAAAACGATCAAAATACATGCAGACTTGGAAAAGTCTTGTGAATAAGGATACTATCGGTTGCCTTAGCTAGGCAAGGTTATCTTTTGAACAAAAATAAACGTTGGTTTGCATTCGATCATAAGCGTCGCTGTACCATCAAGCCGGAGTTGCAAAAATTACTCACGACTTCCGAAAGACCCCATTAACAACAATAGTTTTATTGAAACTCGGACCCGGGAATTTTTGAATTAAAAAGTCTACTAATCGCGACTACTAAACTACTTAACTGTATTACAACAATGATAGATACGTTGGAAAGAAACCTATTATTACCATGAAAAATATGGCATCATTATCCACATTCGCTAACTGCGTTACATATGGCAAAAGAATATGTTACGATAAGTTAAATACCTTGTAATTTTTGATCAAGATGCACACAGAAAGAAAACATTTTTAAATTCCTCGACTACCTCGGCTATCAGTGAAAACATTTGCATTAATCTCATTCGGGGCTTTTTTAACCCATTCATGAAAGGTAGATCCTCTTCCATCCTTTATAATCATGCTGTTATTGTTGCAGTAACGATTAACGGAATTAACGGAGATAACTTTAGAACTGGTTCAACTAGTGCTTAATATTCCTTTATTTCTATTAGTTTAAAAATTTGTTTCGTTTTCGCTTGAAATATTCCGTTATATGCATTCAACTTTGCTTACTCGGTATTTGGTTTTATCCTACCTATCTTCAGTTTTAAAGATGTTTTTTTTGACTCGCTGCGTACTCATATTATTGCAGGGGATATTATAAAAACTGATCTATGAGTCGGCCAATTAGTCGAAATTTATTATTAATAAAATCGACATTGATTATATATATGTTATTTGTTGTTGCTTTTGTTGTAATAGAAAGTAAAAATTATCATAGATTTAAAAATACTACATATTATCTAATAATTTAATGCCTTTTTTAATGCAACCCTGCAGTGTAAAGTGATTGTTTCACTAAATCTACAGATGTTTACATCATGCTTTCTCGCTACTATGGCTAATGTTGTGTTAGTGGAATGTTTTTTACATCCATTCATTTAGTTGTTGTAATTTAGTTGTTTTGTGTTGTAATAAATTTATTTAGGAATTGTTTTTTTTTTATTTATTTATTTTGTATTTTTTTAGTTAATAAATAACATTACGGATTGGAAATATGTTTACAGCGCTTTTGATACAATCGTCGAAATTTCTTATATATAAGAATGGAAATAATATGAAATTTGTACCTGTTTATGTAAAATATTGTGCGACGAAAACTAGCAAAGAGGAGAAGATTACGATAGGTGATGTAACGAAAGAGATCAAAACACCACAACAACCTGAACTAGTGCCGCAAAAATATGGTTAATCCACAGATTTTTACATTTCATGCAGAGGCATCGGATTAAATAAATATTGATTTTTTTTTTTTTTTTTCTTTAGTGCAATATGCCGAAGATGGTACTATACAGCTAACGCAATCGGCTTTACATCATTTGAGATGGATGCTGCAAAAGGACACATTGAAGCAGGATATATTTCTGCTGGGTCAACCTGGTCCGCTAAGGCGACAATTGGCGATGCAATTTCTGGAATTGACTCAAAGAGAATTGGAGTACATTGCCCTTAGTCGTGATACAACGGAGAGTGATTTGAAGCAGAGACGTGAAATTAAAAATAAAGCGGCCGTCTATTATGATCAAGTACGTTGTCGCGGCGAATGATTGATGGTGTGATTGAACTTTGTACTCCTTTGTACAAACGCGTGTTATTTTATGATTTTAGTGTGCGGTTAAAGCAGCGATAAATGGTCGAATATTAATATTAGATGGCGTGGAACATGCGGAACGTAATGTTTTGCCGATTTTGAATAATTTGCTAGAAAATCGGGAAATGCATTTGGAGAATGGTAAATTTCTGATGGCCCCCGAGCGCTATGATAAACTATTAGAGGTAATTACTATTGGGAATATTTATGGATGAGTTTCGCTTTGGGAATTCGTTGCTTTTTAGAACTATACTAGAGATGAACTGGATTCTTGGGGTCTTTTAAGAGTTTCCGAGGATTTTCGCGTAATAGCTTTAGGTTGCCCTACCCAAAAATATAAAGGTACACCGTTAGACCCGCCGTTACGATCACGCTTTCAATCAAGAAATATCCCACACTACTCGTTTGAAGTAAGTAGTAGTGACCACGTAATATATGAGTTTTAAGATTGCTTCTTAAACGATTTGCTTGAATATTCTAGGAGATGTTTATCGATTTGATAGTCTCCGCTCCTCACGTTCCTGTCGATAATCTGAAAAGTTTGCTTTCGTTTGGCTTGGCCGTACAAGCGGCCGATAGCTCTTCTAACTTACCAGATTTTCCTCTGGACAATTTACATTTAGCCGCCACAATGATGGTAATTGCTTTCTTATTAAGTTTAACGCAAACAAAAGTGAAGCTTTATCAAAGTAATTCATTTTATAGAACACAAATCCAAAGCTGAGTGTGCATGATGTTCTGGTGCGCTTGTATCCCTACAATTGCAGTTTAAAAAAAGAGCAGCAGCAACGTATTAAAAATTTATTAACTTCGTTTAGTATATCTCCTTTGCCGAGCGGTGCCGTAAAGAAGATCATTACTCAAAAAGATAATACTCATAATATAATAAAATTCCAAATCGATGACGTTATGGTGAATATACCCGGTGGTCGATATGTTAAGCTTTCTCAAAGAGAAAAGAATTTTGTTGATTTAGATCACCAACGCCACATACTTGCACAGATGATTCAGGCGGCAGCGGTGGGTGATATCTGCCTAATAGGTCAAAAAGGGGTAGGAAAATATACGCTAGCTCAACATTTGGTTTCTACGCTGCAACAATCTCTTGAACCTATGGTTCTCTATGAAGACATGACTTCACGTGATTTAGTTCAACAACGTATTACTACCTTGGATGGTGATACAATATGGCGTGATTCTCCATTGGTACGAGCGGCGAAGAATGGATCCGTAGCTCTGCTGAATGGTCTCAATCGTTTGCATAAAAGCACTGCAAGTGTATTGCAGCGACTAATACATGATCGTGAATTGCAATTATGCGATGGCATCACCCTTCTACGAGGCGATCGTTATGAGTCTTTGTTGCAGCAAGGTTTCTCCAAATTACAATTAGCGGAGCAGGGTATCTTTAAAATACACGATAGTTTTCGTATCATAGCCTTAGCGGAACCACCAAACCTTTCCGTGGCCGCACAAAACTGGTTGACACCCGAGATGTTGAGTCTTTTTTTGTTTGTTGAAGTTCGGCCTCTACAACAGTCGGAGGAGTATGAAATTTTGCGCAAATTGTATGGCGAAATTAATGAAGAAATGCATAAAGTCATTGATTTGTCTCATATATTGCGCAATTCACCTGACAACACTTTACAAAATTTGGCAGCTACCCTGTCAACACGACAGCTACTTAAAATTGGACGTCGTATGTCAGCCTATCCCACCGACACCTTTGAGATTATACAGAATACATTTTTAACAAAATTTATGCCAGCGTTACCAAGGGCGGCTTTAGAAAGTGCTATTGCGAAAGCAAAAATTGAAACATCGTCTACCAACCGAGAAAGTAAACGCCGTAAAATTAGCGTAGAGAACAACGTTTTGCGCATTGGCAGCACGGAAATGCAACTTGAACCTACAAGTGAAGAATCCAAAGTTCCTAGCACCCTGTTCTATGAAATGCCTCAGCATGTAGCCTTATTGGAGCGCCTATTGCAAGATTTTCTTATTGGCGATCACCTGTTATTGGTGGGAAATCAAGGCGTAGGTAAAAATAAATTAATCGATAAGTTATTGCAGTTGATGAATAAGCCGCGTGAGTATTTGCAATTGCATCGTGACACTACTGTGCACAGTTTGACTGTTCAGTCCACGTTGCGTGACGGTCAAGTAGTGTATGAGGATAGTCCGCTGGTGAAGGCGGTTAAAAATGGTCATGTTTTAGTAATTGATGAGGCTGACAAAGCTCCGGTAAATGTCACATGTATTTTACGCACTTTGGTGGAAAGTGGAGAGATGATGCTCTCGGATGGGCGCAAAATTGTGGCTCCTGGTGACAAAGATGCTGCTCTCGCTGAGAATCCTACTCAAGATATCGTAGAAACTCATCCCAATTTTCGGGTTATTGTCTTAGCTAATCGTCCCGGTTTTCCGTTTTTGGGTAACGATTTCTTTGCCTCTTTGGGTGATGTATTCAGTTGCCATGCAGTCGACAACCCTTCGCCAGATTCCGAAATTTACCTTCTACAGCAGTACGGGCCTTCCGTGCCTATGAAAACTTTGGCAACGTTAGTAAACGCTTTCGGTGAATTACGACAAATGGCTGATGAAGGCTTACTAAATTATCCATATTCCACTAGGGAAGTTGTTAATATTGTTAAACATTTGGAAAAATATCCTAACGAAAACATGTCCGAATTGGTGGGTAATGTTTTGGACTTTGATCGATATCAGCCGGAAGCTTTAGAACAGGTTACAAATGTGTTGGCTAAACATGGTTTACCAATAGACGCCTACGCTCGTAATGAATTGTTTGCCTTGCGTAAAAAACGTGAAATGAAATTAACCGTTCAGCGGACAAGTGGTTTGGGGGTCTCGGGCCCAAAATATGGTAAGGTGGATCCTAAAAATGAGCCTCACGTCGGAGGTAATACTTGGGCGGGAGGGACTGGTGGCCGTGATACCGCTGGTTTAGGTGGTAAGGGTGGACCTTTTCGTTTAGATGCTGGCCATCAAGTACATCAATTATCAGATGAGGAAAAAGATGATATACCGGAGGAGGTGAAGAAGGCCGCTCGTGATATGAACCGGAAGGCATATGAAGAGAAATTGAAGGAGATACGCATATCAGAGCACGATCATAAACTCTATGCTCAATTTAGCGAACCCATAGGTAAACAAGTGCAGCAATTGAAAGCCATTTTGGATGCCATGCAAACCAAGAGCAAAGAACGTCAGTGGCAAAAGTATCAAACTCATGGTGAACTGGACGATACACGGTTAATTGAAGGTATTACGGGGGAAAAAAATATTTATCGGCGTCGTGCAGAAGCAAATCCTTGGGCCGATCATATTCAAGAAAAGCCAAATCGTTTAAAACTCGTTGTGGATGTCTCTGGTTCTATGTATCGCTTTAATGGCTACGACGGTCGTTTGGATCGTGAATTGGAGGCGGTAGTTATGGTTATGGAAGCCTTTGAAGGCTACGAAAAGAAAATTGTCTATGACATTGTCGGTCATAGTGGAGAAAGTTTCGAATTGCCTTTCGTTAATGCGGGCAGTCCACCAAAAACTGATAAGGAACGATTGGAAACCATACGTATGATGCATGCTCACTCACAATTTTGCTGGTCCGGCGACAGTACAGTTAAAGCTACTAAAGAAGCTGTAAATTCATTGACCCACGAAGATTATGATAATAACATGGTTGTTGTGCTAAGTGATGCCAACTTATCGCGTTACGCTATTCAACCAAAAGAATTTGCCAAAGCTTTAATGGACGGTGAACCGAAAGTTAAAGGTCATGTAATTTTTATAGGTAGCTTAGCGGAGGAAGCAGACATGTGAGTAAAAAAAAAAAAAAAAAAAAAAAAACACTTTTTCCTTCTGCTCTTTTAATTCTCTTTGATGCAACTTTCATTGTCTCTCTTTATGGCAGCATAAACGCTCAAATGCCGGCCGGTCACAGCTATGTCTGCATGGAGGTATCTTCTTTACCGCAAATTTTAAAACAAATTTTCACTTCTTCGTTATTGTGATTTAAACGAATTATGAAATGTGTTAATTTTTTGTGATTACAAGCTTTACAGTTTAATTAGAAAAATTATTTGAATTTTTTGCAAAATATTTTTAATTATAATATATATATATGTATAAAATTTAAATTAGAAAGATTTGTTATTAGCGATCAGTCAGTTAAGCATTTATAGAATATTAATGGTTAGAAAAGAAAAACAATCGCTTTTGATTTTCTAATTAAAGTCTTTTATTTACAATGAACTTAACTTAATTAATTCTACATAATTAACATTCTATTAATGACTTAAACACTCTTAAAAATAAATATTAAACAAATCATTTCACATCTTAGTCTAACAACTTTGTTCTGAGATCACAGGCATACAAATTTCTTAGACATTGTCACTCACACAATGGCACATCATTTTATCAAAAAAAAAAAATTAAGACATAAGTATAAATTGAAAGTGAAAAAATCAATTAATCAATTTAAATCTAGGCACTCTGATTAGATGGTATAACAACCCAACTATCATCGGACTCGACTTCGCCGCTGCTTTGAGAATTGTCATTTTTAAATTGATGCGATTCTAATGTTTGTCCCGTACGCAAAACATCCAATTGCTGTTTCAGATTGTTATACAACTCGAGCAATTCGGTCTAAAAAGATTTTCAAAATTTCAATGCACTCTTTATTGATATTGAATATGCGAATATTGTTCTTTACCTTCTCGCTCATTTTCTGCAATATTTGTTCTTTTTCTCTCCGCTCTTCCGGATCCATTTTCAAAAGGTATTTCTCCTTGAAATCCTGAACATAATATAAATTCGTATTAACTCTTAGATATTCTTTCGCTAAATGTCTGTGATCGTTATAAATTTCTTGCGATTCGGCATTATCGGCAATGGGTTGTTCCGGCTGTAGTTCAGTATCTAACATTTCATGCCATGATTCATTGTTATCGTCATCTTCATCGAGCTGTGTTTCGATTTCTTTGCTCGCGTGTGTCGGTAATTTATCAGCTGCCATTATCGGTTTGGCATCAGTGACTGTAAGACGTTCTTTGCCATCAGTTTTGGCTGTTTAAAGAACAATAAAAAAATAAAAAAAATAAATTATATGATAATAATAATAATATTAAAAATCATTAAACTTTAACTTTACTGTAATTATTTCTAGAGCGAGATCTAAATGAATATTGATAACGTAACGGGATATAATTTTTCATAGAGAATGACTATTAATATTAAAATAATATATTAAAAACTTCCTCAGCGAATTATTAATGTCTTGCGCAATATACAACTAAACGCTCTTTACGCAATATATATAAAAATGTTTTGAATTTTACTTTAGTCTATTTTAATCCTTAAGGACTATATCATTCTTGCTCGACGAAATTATATCAGCGTACGGATCTTTCGCTAGTAAAAATGGGAAAAAGGAAAATTTTCACAACTAAGCTCACCTTCTATACCCTATTTATCCTAAATAATTGTTTTTGTCTAAACTGACTATCAAAGCTCTCTTGTTGCATTCACTTGGCCACAGTTGCTGCGTTCAGAAAAGTGAACACTGAACGAATCGTACTTTTGTAGTTATAAAAATTTCGTGGAATTTCGAAAATGATTTCAGATGAATGTTATAATAAAATCTTTTTAATAATAAGCGATTTTTTAATAGTCAGCGATTTTGATCAAAGCTCTTCACGAACGGTTATCAAATACTTGAACAAAATATTTGACGATTCTTTAAAAAAAAAGAGAAGAGATTAATCACTCAAACGCTGGCTTGCCAGCCCTGCTTAACACTTCTGATTAGGTCGATTATTAGATATATAAGAAATAAGCTTAGATTCGGCTTATGCCGAAAGTTTGACATAAGACGTAAGTTGCAAAAGTTATAAAAGCCTTCTTCTAATTGATAACGTTTCAGTTAAGAGATCGAAGCTGTTTTCACGCTCGTCCTTTTCACTCGATCCGCAGAAAATTTGTAACACGTTTTAGTTCATTATCTCTATAGTTCATAAGTCAAAGTTTTTTTTTTTTTTTGCAAACATGTATGTGTGTCTATCGAGAGTTTTCAATTAGATCAATATTTGCTCTATATCAAATATAGTTATTGGTTGCCTGCTCTGAACGGATCACGATCACGTCATGGTCAAACTTTATCTTTGGCCGGTAAACAGAGTAAATAATATATGTATGTGGTAAGTTTCGTCTTTCTTTATCAATTTATATATTCACCAACGAAGCATGACATATATACATAGGTATATATGTACCTAACAAGCATTAAACTTTGATTCAATTCAAGTATGTCCGTCTGTCTGTCGGCGGTAACAAGAATGACGTTATGTGTGCTTCGAGTTTGGAAGAAGCATTGGAAGTTCTTGCACGTCAATCAAAAGTCACGCGTTGCATGCGTGCAGCAGGAACTGGAGATACCCTTCTTTCTGTGTTTTTTACCCATTACTTATAAAACACAATAAACATTGTGATCTCCACTTATATATATCCTATAAAAAATGGAACATATCAGTCACGCCATCGTCACGCTCGTTTTCTTTTAGGATAAAAAGTGGTGGGTATAAAAAGGTCCGATCACAGCCGGTTATCATTTTTTTAATTGTTACGCGTACAGCTGTTCTTATTACAATAGAGCGAACATATTGAATTAATTCGCAATCTTACTTTGATTAGGAATATATATGTGCTTTATAGGATCTGTAAAGCATATCTCTCTCTCTCTCTCTCTCTCTCTCATAATCTAATATATGATTATCGCACAAGTGCAACAAATAGAAACTCTACACTGGGACAACGTTTATGCAGACTTTGCCAAATACTGTCATTCCTCCAAATATCAACTTACGTGGGCGAAATTTAATCAACTTATATTACTTGTCAAAGTTTTTATTATTTTTCAGTTGTTTTTGTTATAAAAAACTAAAAAATAGAGTATGTCGGCATGCAAGGTATTGCTATTCATTACAGCCCCTATGCATGCCATGATGGGGTTTAATAAATAGACCTACGTGATCCAAATTCTCTACCGTTAATTTCTATGCTGCATTATTACTGTAAACCAATTTTTAGCACAAAATATTAACTCCCTATTAGCATAGATATGAGAAGCCATATATGGAATGGAGTCCAAACAATAAATCCATTTGGGTCAAATTTTATCTAGCTAGATTTTATATCAAGTTATTAACATGAAAAAATTTTTGATATAAAATATCCCAAGTTAGATTTGTTTAGCAACGAATTTTACATTTATTGCATGCATGCGATTATGTACAAAAAATAGATCTACTGGATCCAAATTCAATACAGTTAAGTTTTTTTTATCAAATCATTCCTGCGAACCAAATGTCAATAAGTGGATTTGTTTTTTTGCATAAAAAGGTTTACTTGCTTTTCTTTTGAACTCCTATGGGCGTGGGCTCTCACAAAAATAAACCTTCGTATTGCCAAACTTTAGATCAAATTATTATGTGAATCAGTTTTCATTATCAAATACTGAAAAATGGACGTTCTTACTATATATTTCTGAAATTTAAGAAAATTGCAGTTTTTTTTTGTTTTTTATATAAAGATTTTTCAAAACATAGCGTTATATGGGGAGTGGTCCGAAAAGTGATTTGATCGTAACCATTATCACTAAGGTTCGTTCCTCGGTCAAAACATGTCAATGTACGAAATTTCATCGAAATATCTTGGAAAAATCTCAGGACTTGTATGTTGCACTCAAGAATACAGTAAGGGTAGACGGACAGATAAACTTATAATATAATATATAATAGAGAGATCTATTTTAAGCTTTTCGCACAATTTGACAAACCCTGTACCACACAAGTGGTGTAGGGTATAGAAAATAGATGATGCTGCACTAGTGAAAAAGTTATGCTAACTATCCGTACTTCTGTGCCACAAAATTCCGAACAACAGATTCGCTCGATTACGTCGCTCAAAGGCTATTGACACAATTACTCGTCATCAGTGTTAATAGCATTGATGATTAACTGTACAAAAGTACAAATTGTTTTTTTTTTTTTTTCGAATTTTGATTGTAAATAATGTTTACTCATAGATCCGTGCTCTCTATAACCTCGACGGTAGGATGAAAGTCGACTAAGCTTGTTACACCGTTTGTAACACCCAGACAGAAATGTCATAGTTTGTTCACAAATATTATAAACTATTATAAGGTTGGAAGTCTGCCTATTTTGGGTCGCTTAAGCTGTTGTTTGAGTAGACGAAATAATAAAAGAAAAAAAAATGTTATTAAATTGCAAAATTTAATAGAAAACACACTGGAATAATTATTACTTTAACATAATACAACATACAAACGTCGTACTACCTATGATGGTTAGAATTAATAATGACTTTGCAAATTTTCATTAATTCGCTAGAGATTGCGGATATCGGATATGACTGATTCGTGTCAGGACGAATAGATGTGTTTTTGATTTCACTAATAAAAATTAATTATTTATATAAAACATTTTATGCAATCGCGAATAGCAAAGTTGATAGGTTGATGGGGTTATAATCAATGTTTACGGTTCGCATGACATTATTAGAAGAGATTTGGCACACTTGCTGCCCTCGACGTATTAGATATAGAGTTAAAAATATAAATGAACCTCTCGGAGTCTCGGACGTCTATAAAATTTTTTATGAAAAACAAAAAAAAAAATCATTCAAAATTGAATATAAATTTAGAATTTTTGCTTGTATGTTACATAATGGAGACCGATCTAAATCAATTCTTTAACATTAATTAATTAATTGTTTATACACTTGTACGTACTATATATAATCCAACAACTATGTATATCGGTTTGATTCGCTGATATTATTGTCGTGGAATCGCACATTTTGTTGAAGGATAAGAAAAAATATTAAAAATATTGAATTTTTTTTCTCTTCTTAAATAATTTCTTCTTTCACTTGCAATAAATTTTTAATATTTTTTAAATTATTGAAGAAAATAAAGAAACATTTAATTGTCATTTAAGATAAGATCTTATTTTTCTATAAACAAATTTTAAAAATAAATTAAATTAATTTTTTTTTTTTTTTTTTAATGAAAATTAATTAAAAATAATATGAAATTTTTATTTATTTATTTTTTTTCTATCGATTAATTAGTTATCATTTTATTCGAATTATAATTGGTTCGTCTTATTGAATTTTATTGATTGGCGCGCGCTCATATTATCCACACTACCATTAACGCAAATGAACTGAATCAATGCTTTTCAGCTAAAGAATATTTTAACAGCATTCGAAATATGTGAACAAATTTTCGGGATTCAGGCAAAACAAATGAAATGAAGAAGAAAATATTCTTGCATATGATAGCTTAACTTGTACAATAAATATTCACACAGAGCGACGATGACGAGAGAGAAAAAGAAAGAGAAAAAGAGAACGGGAGAGACAGCGCGAGAAACATGGCACTGCCAAGCGGAGAGTGGCAGAAACACACTGTAATGTAACGATGACTTTTGCATTAGAGATGGGTGTCAAATAAATCGCACCTTACGTTCGCCCTATGTGACTTTAGCTGACACACACAGTCCTCAGCAATAATCCAGTAACGAGATTGCGTGAATCTTAAGCGACAAGAACATGAGTAAACGAGAAAAATAATATTTAATTTTTGATTACATCGACCATACTACGCTCGGTAAAGGCAATAAACATACTATGACCGGGAATGCATGTAACCGTAACGCATGACAAGCTTCTATAACATTTATGAATTATAAAAAATGTTTATCAAAGTTTACCTTTGGTCAGGCAAGTGCTCTGGTGCCAGGTTACGGTTGTTGAAATTTCGAACAATTAAAACACTTGTCAAAATATATATTCTTGTGCAAATAAGATCTTGACGTATAAAGGATGAAAAAATAATTTCTACGATAAGTTTTTGGTGTATTTTTTACACATTTTTAAAAGGATAGGACGAAGTTATTTACGTTCCGTAAAATTTCGAACAATTAAAACACTTGTCTTAATTTCAAGTCGATATATGCTGCCAACAAGATCTAGACGAAAATAAT